CTGGATGGCAATTCTCAAATGACGATTCGTAACAACAGGATATTCGAGAATGGATTCTGGGGGATACTTGCTAAGTCACGAACATCGGCACACGTAGTAGGAAACGTCATCACTGGCAACAAATCTGGTGGCATCTTCATTGGTATCAATTACTCTGGAAGAGTTCATCTGGAATCAAACATCGTTCGAGACCATTGTGGTCCTTGGCTTGAGTATCAAAACAAAGCCAATAATCTCCGCATTCATCGCAGTTCAATAGATATCAAAGTTGCTGCTCTTCTAGGTTTTCCATCGGGAGAGAACGATTGTTACTCCATTCCTCCATTTCTTAGCGGAAACGAGGAATTTAATAACGAAGAAGGCATGCATCATCCCAGGGAGGTTGCTAAACAACGTTACAGTGGATGCACGTATTGCAGCCGCTCAAGAGATGAAGTAGAACGCGTTGTTAAGTGCCCGAATTGCCACATTGCATCTTACTGCTGCAAAGAATGTCAACGTAAACACAGACCAAAACATGAGACTTTATGTGTCGCCCTGAGAAGTCGCTTTTCTGTAACGGTGGAGATGATCCCTAGAGTCAAGCCAGGAGAAGTATCGCATCGAACATTTGGTACTCATTTAAAAGGTATTGGTGAGGGTCCTAAACCCAAACGTAACAGTAGTACGAAGTTAATCGTTAAGATTCAAACGCAAACTTTAAATAGCCACCCATTGCAATTGCTGACCGTTTACGACAAAAGCCTCACTATAGATTGCAGCATCCAAAGTCAGGAAATTTTCAACGTGATAATGGAATGTGGTGTTCTTGGAGCTTTGCACAAATTCACAAGCAAAAAAGTTTTCTTCTGGGCCATGTTTGCTAAGAGAGGAGAGAAGCTGACAGTTTTCCTCGATCGCTTGGCTCCTTATCAAGAGTGGTAAAGGTTACAGGTTTTCGCCAGGATAGAAGTATGCGTAATCAGTACGCTAAAACAACACAGTTATAGGTGCATACCAGACGCAAAGTGTCTCAAATTTTACGTTCTCAGTCCATCCCCTCGATCATTACACATGCAGTACAAACCGAAGGGGTGAAAATTATCCCTGGATATGGAATCTTTATGGTGGTGTACGTTTTAAACACTCTACTTGTAACTGCTATGCACGTCAAGGCTCTCGATTATCAGTGAGGAAATGTGAAGTGTACCGAAACCACCAGGGTGGTTTGGAAGCAAGAAATGGTGAGGAATTTACTGCGTCTGAAAACAGGATATTTGACGGTGGTGTTCACGGCATCTTGATTGGTCCAGATGCAGGGGAATGTGGTATTGATGGAAATGAGATTTTCGAAAATGCAGGAGAGGTATTCTTGCTGTCCAAAACAAGACCACGATTTCACACGAAACAACCATATTCATCACAGCAGACCCTTTGGTCTTTCTCTGGATTTTAATTCTCAAGTCATGATCAGCGACAACAAAATATTTGAGAATGGATTCTGGGGGTTCCCCGCCAAAACGCGAGCGTCAGCTAACATAGCAAGAAACGTTCTTTCCGGCAACAAAGGTGGTGGCATTTTCATTAGTGTCAATTTTTCCGGACGAGTTTATCTGGAATCTAACATTGTTGGAGATCATAGTGGCCCTCGGCTCGAGTATCAAAGGAACAAACATATCTTTCTTACTGATAGCCAATTGTTTGGAGAGTACGATTCTCGGTCTGAATTTTATCTTCCACCGGGGGAAAAGAAGGAGTTGTATTCAAATCCTCCGATTCTCAATGGAAACAAAGAATTTAACAATGAAGAAGGCAAGTATCATTCCATAGAAGTTTGTGCACGACTTTACAGCGGCTGCACGTATTGCCGTCGTTCAAGAAATGACGTAGAACGCCTCATGATGTGCTCCAATTGTCACATTGCATCTTACTGCAGTAAGGAATGTCAACGTAAACACAGACCCACACATAGGACATTATGTTGTGCCCTCAAAGGTCGCTATTCTGTAACAGTCGACACTATTCCTTATTTCAAATCAGATGGACGAACAGTCTCAGTGCGAATGTTCGGCACTCATTTAAAAGGTATTGGAGAGGGGCCTAAACTCAAACGCAACTCTCGTCAGAAATTCATCATAAAAGTTCAAACTCAACGTCTAAATAGCCACCCACTGCAGTTGCCAACTGCTTATGATAAAAGCCTCACCATAGATATCTACAGTCCAGAAATCTTCAACGTGATAATGGAATGTGGCGTCCTTGGAGCACTTCACAAATTTACAAGAAAGCCTTTTTCTGGGCCATGTTTGCTGAGCAAGGAGAGAAGCTCACAGTTTTCCTTGATCATTTGGCTCCTTATCAGGAGTGGTAATAGCTTCTGAGTATAACGTTTAACAAATTGGCATTTTTTTTCATGGTCTCTACACTTTAATAGACATAAAATGTTCAAAATTCAAGTGAAGGCACGTACTGCAGGCGAGTGGTTTCACTATCATAAAATGGTGTAGACCATGGAAGCGTGTGTGGAGAATAGTTTCCACAGACAAAACTGTATGAAAACAGTGACTATTAGTTTTATTTCAAATAGTATAATTTTTATAAGCAATAATTGTGGCACATGTTGATACCTTTTTTGTAATATGCAATATTGCAAAAATTTTGATTTCAATTTTCTCAGAGATACTAGCCTATTTTTGGCTACTCAAAATCAGAGATTTAAAATAAATTAAAAAACACTCTCCAGGGTGAGCCAGATTAATGGCTTTGTGATAAAAGAGGAAACAGGGCAAGCAGAAGTCTGTATTTTACGATCACTTGCTGCACCACAGTGTAACATTATAGGCAAGCATTCTTTGCCTTTGGTACTCTTGAAGCAGTGCAACTGACTTTGTGATTTTTCCAATCTGCTATCTGACAGTCCCTGTAGAAACAGTGAGATTAACACAAGCATACAATAAGCCAATGGTTTAAACCCTTTGCACAGAAGCAGTTTCAGTAGGAATCTACCATCTTTAACTAGTGGAATACATGACCAGTGAGAAAAGCCTGTGTAGCAGGTACTTGAATAATAATGTAGGGCACGAATATTTGGAGTGGTGCGAAACATACGGTAAAGTGACATCTACACCTGCAAGTGCTTTCTCGCTCTTGCACACTGTTCCAACTCACGCCCTATTATTACTCAAGTACCTGCTACTAGCTAATAGTCACACTTGCCTATTTTAAACACAACAGTATTACTGTTTTTTTTAATTATTTTTGTAATCATTTCAAAGCTGCAGTCTCCTAGTTGTTATTTGGGAAGAAATGTTGCCTGAAGACCCAGATATTGGTAGCGTAAGAGACTAAAAGTGGCACTGTTAATCTCGAACTCTCTTATCGCAAACCTCTCGCTATCTCAACCCAAAAATTAGTTTTCTTTGAGACTTCTAGTAAATTGAGTAATTTGCAATGGGCAGTTTCAAGCATTTTTTTCTCAAAAGGACCTGAGATCGAAAGTGGAACTCTACTCTGTTCTGTAAAATTGGACAAAACCCAACCCAGCAGTTAAGAATATAAGTTCAAGGTGTTGCAAACGTCTCAGGAAACTTTGCCATTTGTTGATTGGTAAGATTCGATCGTAAATTTTGTAGGCTTTTCGACGGTTTCAGTTTACTTGTCCCATAATGAGTTTTCACACAACATTTTTCAAGCCAAATTTATAAGTATGATAATTTGCCATCAAGGACTGAATCTCTAAGAGTTAAGAAATTTTATTACTTGCCATCACGAGAAGCTGCCAGTGCATGGTTCAAGGTTTACTTTACGTTTTGACTGGTTAGTTTTCTTCTAGGTGGCCTGGTTCGAGTAGTCGCACTGTTACAGTTGATGCAGTTCTGATTTCTTCATCGAGGGAGTTGAGCTATACTTTAGGACCATATAATTAATGGTGCACTTTGTTGTAGAAACTGCTGTGTTTTTCAGCATTCATAACGACTTTACATCGTTCAGCGCTCAATCGATGGTTTGTTCGTTTCTCGAATTTTGTCATAGTTCTGATTAATTGGTAACAGGGCTTCGCGTCGTCCAATTCAGTCTGTCATCATACTCGTAATTAACAAATCGGACTCCCGCTTTGCGGTCGTCCGATTTTGTTAATCACTCGTATGATGACGGACCGAATTGGACTCCACCCAGTCCTATTACCATTATTAATCATCAGAGAGGCAACCCATTTCAAACTCAACTTGCAAAATAACTTTAACGTTAACAGTAACGACATCAGTCTTGAGAATGAGGCTTGATCCATCGAAAAGTCGTTTGAAATACTTTTAGTCTTTCTTATAATTTATTATTTGCTTGCTAAATAGCCTTCAATGCACTTCAGGCACATTTTGGGTGGGCGAGCTAGCACCATCTTAGGTTCGGGGAGTGGAAAAAAGTGGCCTCGGGAGTAGGAACAAGGTCGGGGAGGGAGAGGGAGAGATTCTTTCTCCTCCCAACCTTCATTCTCTGATATTCAACCCTCCATGTTGTGCAACTCCTTGATGGTGGCAGATATGCAATGAAAATCGCCCAACAAAAATTCCTTTACTGCAGGCTACACCTAGTACAACAGGAAATAATTTAAAATAAAAAACGTTACTTACTTGCTGCAGTATTTTTACTTCCCACAGCGGCCACAGGATTTCAAGTCACTCTCCTTAACTTTCTTGGTGCAAGACTTGTTGCCACAACTAACAGGTTGCATAACATTAGCAAACAGTTGGTAACATGGGGACAACATATCTTTTATAGGCAGATCAACAGGATGAAAGAAAGGAAGTCTCTTTTCTTCTGCATCTTGGCCCAGTTCGAAATACTTTCTGAATTCGCTCTGGTTTGTGTTAAGAAAAGCACCATGTGCAAGATAATAACAAGCATTTGGGTAGTTTTTATCACACTGTGGTGCCTCCGCCAGGTACTCCTGCAACACTTTCACTGCAGTGTCTCTCAATTCTTCTGCAGTCCAAGAAGCATATTTTGACATTTCTCTGTCACATGGTCTTGATTTATTAGGTGGCAATTCTTCAGGTATATCTTCATGGCATTCCACAGTTTTTGAGCTGTAAAGAGTCATTAAGTTATACCCAAGCCCCCTTTTAGCGTCGTAATAAGATGGGCAGCACTTAAGGGAACTTTCAAAAGCTTCAGCGGCTTTTCCAGCGGCTTCTGCAATGGTGTAAATTGCTGCCATGTGGTAATACAAAACATGAAGCCAGCTGCTGTAAGTTTTATCAAACTCAAGGGGATCAACTGAAGGAGGGCTGTCAGGTTCAGCTGTTTGAATAAAGTGAATTAAGTTGTCAAAGCACATAAGCGTTTTTCTGTCACCTTTCATACTTTCCAAGGAAACTTTGCCTGCTAATGGATAACCACGGAAAGCAATAGACAAAAGAAGCCCTTCAAAAAAACAAGGATTTTTGTACAAGTTTTCCTCACAAAGCTGGAGAATGTTGGGTAACAGTTCATTTTGTTGTAAAGGAAATGCTTGTAGTATAGAATTCTCAGTTAAGTATCCATGAGCTATAAGAGAAATTCCTCTTGCATCAGTAAAGTTACTTTTACGAAGAACTTCAAGGCCTTCCTTCACCAGTTTGTAAGCTTGAAGGTAAATTCTGGCTGTTGGAAAGGAATCAAACTGTCTTAACATTTCTTCTGAAAAAGGCACAGGTTGAGTAACCGCAAATGGGTGTTTATTGGCTTCAGCTCTCTGCCTCAGTTTCTCACCCTCGATACTAAATGACTGAATGAAAACCTCCTCACTGACTTCTGAAGCATTGTGTTTTGTGTCATCACCAGGTCCGCACTGCTGAAGAAGCTACATGACACAAAAATACAGTACTGTTAATTTATAGTGAAGCTTGGGCTGCCAATCAGAACTGAACACCATAACTATAGGAAGTGAACCACACACATGAATAGAAATAGAAAACCATGCAGCTCTTTTTACATGGTCAACATGGCTAGCGGCATGGATCCCCGGCACATGCACCCCACAAAGCACAACGACGTTGCACAACATTTTTAATTTTAATTTATTTATTCAATTCATCACAAGGAAATATACAAAAAGATACATATACATGTACTACAGCCTTGGTTTACTGCATACATCTTAGATTTTTGTTTAAAGATCCATGTTATGATCAATTCACAGCTGTCAAATCAAGGTATCCACTGACCAGTATCATGTGACCATATTGCAGGCTCAAGTTAAGAGCTCATCGAGATCACGGTTTTTTTAAGTTGACAGCCGGGTTTTCGATTGGATCACGGGCTCACGTCAGGTTACCGGTAACTTGCTATAATCAGGGCCAGGATGTTCAGAAGCCAGTTAACGCTAACCCAGGATTAAGACTTAACGTAATTATAATTTTTTTTTGTATAAAAATGTTTTTCACTGCTTATGTTGTGTGTAGTTTGAGATTATTTACACTCAAAACACAAGGCCAAGCAATATATAAACAGAAAACCTTGATGCAAAGTTACAAAAACAAATTAATCGGGCTTTGAACAACCTGGCCCAGGAGCTCCGGTTTTAAGGCTTGGCCAAATGTATATACATGTATTATACTTGTTAACCCTGTTAAATATCTGCGTTTATATAATAGCCCAAGTTATTCGCGTATTTTGATTGGTTCTCGCCTATGATCTATTAGAGGACAGATGCACGATTGATGTCATCATTTCAAAGTTTTTCCCTCTGTGTTTTA